GGTGGCTCCCTGGGGATGCAGAGCTGGCACCGGAGGAGGCCCAAAGCCTGTGGGACCAGGCAGCTGCCCGTGGGCTGGTGGAGACAAGCTCAGCTTTGCTCTGTGTTCCTGGAAATGGGGAAGCAGGGCTGGCTCTGCCCAGCGACGGTGACCAGGATGCTACCCCAGCATTGTACTTAAGGCTTGATTTGTATTAAATGTTTGCAGCAAAACAAGCCTGGCTGTGGCTGCTCTCTGTCCCTCCCTGCTGCTGCCAGGTGCCAGGATTTAGAGCTCACTACCATGATGGAGGCTGGCTGGGCAGCAGACAAGAGCTGCACTGATAGCAAGGGCGAGCCAGTGCTCTCCAAACCCCTGCTTTACCTGGGCAGGGAGAGGAGGGCTAGCTCCTGCCCAAGCAGAAGCGCTCCTCTCCCTGCACTCAGGGAGCTCAGGATGCCCAGCCCAGGATGCGGAAGGCCCCTCTTTCAGCCCAGATGTTGGCCTCAAGTAATTAGAGCTGCTGCTGCTCAGGGCAGCGCAACCTTAAAGTGCTTCCAGACTTCCAGGCACCTCAGTGGAGGCCCCTTTAACTCCTTCCTCCCCTCCAGCCCCAGGGCTGGAGCTGCAAAGCCCAAGCTGGACTGGGATGTGCAGCACTATCTCCCCAGGAGGAAGAAGCTAGATGAGGCTGTAATGGAGCAAGGGCCCAGGAAGGACCTGTCCCCCAGATAGCCCTGCCCGAGGGACAGCCGCTACAAAGTGAGCTTAGGGAAAAGAGGCATTACACAACAGGGCTGAGAACTGCCCTAGGACCACGTCCAGTGGCCAGGAAACCTTTCTTCATACTAAAAGCAAGGCCAGAAGTGAATAAAACTCATGCACGATCCTGAAAGCAAGTACTTCAGCTCGCTTTTCCCCAGCGCAGGGGCGTTCACCAGCGGGCAAGTGAATTAGCACATCCAAGGCAAAACTGAAGGAGTTTAATATGCTTAAAGCCGGGGAACAGCTAATCCCCGCCCAGGACCACAGGAGAACTGGCACATGAAGGCACAGGACTGGAAGGAAGGATTTACTGCAAATCCATCGAGCTGGGGTGGTACTGGATGGATGGAGAATCTGTAATGCGGTGCCTCGCTGAAGGCGAGAGGTGGGATGGGGCCCTCAGTGGAGTGCAGGGCTTTAGCACAGAGCTCAAAAACCGGAGGCAAAGATGGGGAGGTAAGTGGATAAAGGGCAGCGTTGGTTACCGTAGGCAGACTGGCAGGATCAGCAGGGAGCTGCCTTCAACACAAACAGGTTTTTTGAGACAAAACAAGGTGGTAGATCTCTGCCACCTGCACGCACACGTACATTGAGTGCTCTGGCACCCTGCGGATGGGGCTGGTGTGAGAGGAGACTTGAAGCCAGCCCCCCAAGCTACACTCATGCTGCTGCTGTGGAGGCTGTTAGCCCACCAGCGTGGCAGGGCTTGCTGCCATTCCCCTGAGCCCTGCCTAGGCAGCCTGTACAGGTCTCAGCCTGATGGAAGGGGGGCTGGCAGCTCTCCTGGCTGATTCCAAGCCCTTGGGGACAGAGGTGGTGCTGGGGGAAGTGGTGTTTTGCAGCTCCCTCAAGAGTCAGCAGCCTGCCTCATCTGACCCAGCCACTGTACACCAGCGCCCTGAGGAGAGAGTGCTACTCTGGCTTCCCAGCAGGGGCCTGGCTCTGGCTGCTGCAATTGAGCTGCTGAAATCAGGATCCTCACAAACCAGCTCTGTGCAGGACAGGCTTGTTCAAAGCTCCCTGGCTTCTGAGAGGGGCCGAGACCTTCCACGGAGTTGCAGACAGCAACTGATGGAGGGAGAGCCTGGGTGGGGGGAGTGCAAAATGATGTCCAAATGCCCAAAGCTGGACCCAAGATACTGCAGGCACCAGGTGCTCCCTCAACAGCCTCAGCCCAGCTCCCTGCATAGGCACGCAGCCTGGTACCAGGGTCATGTGCTGTCCCTGAAGCCTTCATCCTGCCCCAGGGCTGGTCCCTGGGCTGCAGGAGAAGTAGCACGCAAGGCTGATGCACACCAGCTTTAATGTCTGTCTGCAGTAGGATTTGGGCATTTGCAGGGCTCCTGGCCTGCGCCTACCCCTCTGGGGTTGCTGGGAATCTCCTAGGAGGTGAAGCCTCGGCACAGTCTCTTGCTGTGGGACACAGCAGGGAGCGGGTGGCTGGTGCTGGCCGCTCCAACCCAGTGAGCTGCTGACTCACAGGATAATCTGGTTTTTGTAGCTGCGGCTCAGCTCCTTGTGAGGAAGGACGATAGAGTTGAGAATAACAACCTCTGGGGGGATGGTGACACTGCAGCCTGTGGGGAGAGAGACAGGGGATTAGCAGGAGCGGAGAGACTGCCCTACTGCACAGGGCTAGGGCAGCTGGGCATGGGTGGGACATACCCAGGATTGTGATGGATGGTGTGAGGCGCCCATCCCGGAAAAGGGTCTCGCTGTCAATCTTGGCGTAGGGATCATTGGGGTTGGGGTCACTGGGCGTTCCTTCAACCCGGGCCCAGCGCCCGATGGTGCTGTCCCAGCCCACAATGGTATTGAGGACACATGTGTGGTCCTGGGACAGAGGAGAGGGGAATGAAGGGTGCTGCTGCCTCCCTGCAAGGGGTGGGGGTTGACAGCCACGCCCTCAGTCAAACTCTGCTTACGTGGAGCGAGGCGCCATGCAGGACGATGGACTCTCGCACACGCACACCAGCTCCTACCGTCACCCCCTCCCCAATGGAAACATTTGGGCCCAGCTGTAAGGAAAGAGGGAAGTGATAAGGGCAAGGACAAGGTGCCCTCAGCACCCTGAGTGTCATCCTGCCGCAGGGTCCCCCCCAGCCTTTGCTCACCACTGCAGTGCTGTCGATGCAGGCTGTCGGGTGGATGTACACGTTCCCTGCAACAAGAAGCAGAGACGTCAGGGGAGGCAGCTCGCAGGAGCACCCGCCTCTTGGATCAGGGCTGGGCCTGCTCACGGGTCCCTCCGCCTCCCCAGGCAGCGGCAGAGGGCGTCAGAGACGTGCCTCGGATGATAGGGCCTCCGGGTTTGTTCTGGGCCAGCCTCTCGGGGTGGCTTTTGCTGTACTGGTTCAGGTAAAGGCGGCTAGCGTAGATAGCAGAGCTGGGGGAGGAAAAGCAAAAGATTATTACTGCCTCTCTGACACTACCAGGGGAGAACAGGGTCCAAATTCAGTCCCCCCACCTCCCTCCCCAGGTTCTCCCTGGGAGCACTCCTGTCCCATCCCTGGTACAGATCGCATGATGCTCCTACTGATCCTCCAGTCCCAGCCCTTACCCAGCTGACTTGATCTGGCTCCAGAAGCCATCGGTTTTATAGACATAGAGTTTGCCACTCCCAGCCAGCGCCGTGAAAACGTCCTGCTCTAGCCGGATCACTTCTGCACGCTGCCAGCCATTGGAGTTCTCCTCTCTGCAAGTGAGAGGCCCATTAGACACCCATGCCAGTCATGGTCTCAGCCAGGGACCCCAGCAGCTACCTTCCCCAAATCCAGGGTGATCCCAAGACTCTTGCCTAGCCATGCACTTCTCCCCAAAGGTGGGGACAGCCCTAGATGTCAGGCTAGGCCTGCCCAGCCCCATGGAGCCCCAGAGCTGCAGAGGGAAAGGGCTCTGCCAACTGAAATAAGCTCTGAGCCAGTAGGTGATTGTGCAAGAGCCCCAGCCTATCTAGATGGGTGGAGGAGTGACAGACCCTGCCCATGCCCCAGAGCCCTGCACAGCTGGACTTTTGCCAGGGTGGTGGCAGATGTCAGGTGACAGGCTGGCTGGCACACAGAGCTGGAGCGGGGAGCAGAGCGTTCCCAGGTGAAAGGCTTGCTCAGAGCTGAATGAGGATGGGGTGGAAGAAGAGGAAGGGAGAGGGGTAGTCTCAAGCTGGCCAGGAGAGAAGCAGAGAGAGTAGACTTGAGCAGGGGGGAACACGTGCATTACCACTCGGGACGATCCAGCCCGGAGAGCAGCTAGTGCAGGCACAGAGGGAGACTTACCCAAGGTAAGGACAGCTGGTGCAGGACCAGGAAACAAGTGAGTGATGGTAGAGCAGGAGAGAAGATAGAGAAAGAATGGAGGATGAGCGTGCCGCTGCAGCCCCAGGAAGCAGTGGGGTGGGAGGGATGGGGGTCAGGGAGAGGCACTCACAGCTTTAGCTCCTGCTGATTCCTCTGGAAGACCTCACCGATGTGCTGGAAGATGGCAGGTGTGAACAGGTAGATGCCACAGTTAATGATCTCACTGACAAATGTGCTGGGCTTTTCCACGTAGTGCTGGACCTGGAAGTGAGGGAAGAGATGTGAGTCCCGAGGTGTGGCCCCCGTGCCCGGCGTCACACCCTCTGTGGCACGCTGGGAAGATGTGCCCACGCAGGCAGTGCAACACCTGCCGCCCACGCCGTGCCTGGCACCCCAAGCCCCCCCAGTACCTCCCGCGTGCCCGCATTTGCCACGATACAGCCGTAATTCAGCGCCTGCGTCCTGTTGGCCTGTGGGGAGAGGATGTCTCAGCAACGGTAGAGCAGCAGACATGTGGATGAAGGGCAGACTAGACCCAGAGCTCGCACCCAGGGATCTGTCCACCGCAGGAGCCACCGGCTTCTTGACAAGCCCATGGCAGAGCCCCACTGCTCCTGTGCTCCCCAGCACCACCACTCACTGTGGTACCCAGAATGACAAAGCTGTGCGCATCCCCGTGCTGCTGCCAGAACTCCAGCATCTCCTGCAAGGGGAACTCTGAGCACACATCTGCGTTGAGGACAAAGAAGGCCTCAGCACCACCTGACAGGATCTGGTCTCGGAAGTGATAGATGCCACCACCTGTGCCCAGCGCCGCGTACTCCTGGAGATACCTGCGAGCAAAGCAGCGAAAAGTGAGAGCTTAGGGAAGCATGGATCCGGGGGCACCAACAGGCGGTGGGGGAGGGCAGCGATGGGGCTCACATGGACGTTGGCACAGGGGAAGGAATCTATAGAAGCTTAGAGCTGTGCTGGAGAGGTATCTCTGGAGCAGGAACCAGCCAGGGCAGGGCCCAGGGCAAGTGCTATTTAGCACAACTAATGTCAGAGGCCAGCTGTGCCCGTAAGTGGTGGGACAGGGTCGACCTGCACAACAACTGGGCGCTGGTAGGGGGCAGGCAAAGAACCAAGTGGGGTGTGTCGCCGTGGGCACCCCAAAGGGGTGAGGGTTACTGCCCACCTGATGGGGATCTTGAACTCCTGCTGCGCTGACGCCAGGAAGCGGCTGAGGGCCTCGTGGGGCTGGTAGAAACCCATCAACAGGATCTCCTTCATGCCCGGCACCTGGGGGGGGAGGGAGGGACG